CACACTCAGATTCACCAAATTATAGCCTGGGGTTAAGCATTTATTCAAAGCTGTAGAGAAAAACAAATGCATTTCGGCAGTTTCTAATACTGCAGTATTCCTCTAGCTGTGTATGCCAGTCTTGTATTAGCTGACTTTGTTTATATAAGTTACTTCAATACTTTCAGTCTGCTTTTTTATTTATCTACAGAATGGGAAGATTGGCCTCAAAGGAGGCTGAGCTTGGGAGAGGGTAGGGGAAGGGACTATAGTTCCAGAATCAAGCTTCTCCTTTGTGGCTTTCCTTCCTTCTTCCAGGTCTTCAAAACCGCCTGCTGCTAACTATAGTCACTTTGCTTTTGGCTTTGCCCTCTTTTCTTTTGTCCTGCTGAACGTTTAGATGGTGCCCAAAATGGAGCATATTCTTTGAGTTGATATATCAGGCAGAAGTAAGCTCACATGTCTATGACCAAGTTCTCAGCTGTGGTAATTTGCTCAGATACTGGGGGAAACAAACAGGTAAGTCTATATATTAAAAATAACAGCAGACTTACTTCTCATTTGGGCACACATACACAACTCTAACTATACATCCAAGTTGTCTGGGTCTGTTTGAGAAGGTCTAGGGATAATAACTACTTCTGGTTCCTGGTTTTATTTCTAAACATCACTCTCCACTATAGGAAGGCAGACCCCTGCAGTAAGGCTAGTGCCAAGGTTAGGGCAGGAAGAAGGGAAGAGGAGCATGCCAACAGTACCATTCACCCTTAATTAGAATAGAATTCATGGGTCTGTGTTAATAGAAACACAGAATCAAAAGTATGCAAAGGAGTTAATACTCTGCCTTGCAGATACTCCCAACAGCTTCTCCCCACAAAATACACTAATTGTATCTTAATGAGTATAAAATGATTTTATGATCCTTGTAATAAATAAACTTGGCTGGGTATGGTAGTATACATCCCTGATTGCAGTGCTGAAGGCTGATATAGAAGGATTGTTAGTTTGAGGCCAGCCTGGGATTCTCTGGGAGACTGTCTTAAAACAAAAATGTAAACAAATCCTTGAAAATATATATACTGGCAGGTTTTGTGTGTCAACTTCATACAAGGTAGCTATCAGAGAGGAAGGAGTCTCAGTTGAGGAAAGGCCTCTATGAAATCGAACCGTAAGAAATTTTCTCAATTAGTGATCAGTGTGGAAGGGCCCCGTCCACTGTGGGTGGTGCCATTCCTGGGCTTGTGATCCTGGGTGCTTTAGGAAAGCAGGCCGAGCAAGTTAGGGGAAGCAGGCCAGTAAGCAGCACCCCTCCACGTCTTCAGAATGAGCTCCTACCTCTGAGATCTTGCCCTGTTTGAGTTCTTATTCTGACTTTCTTTAATGATGAACAGCAATGTTGAAGTATAAGTCAAATAAAATAAACCCTTTCCTCTCCAACTTGCTTTTTGGTCACGGCGTTTGATGGCAGAACTAGGAACCATAGCGGAGACATTACATCTTAGTAAAGAGATAAACACCTCACCGTCATGAAGCAAGTTGAAACTATGTGACCACTAAAGAAATTCAATGAGAAAAGCACCTCACTTCTGTTGTTTCCATCAGAGGCTCACAAACCATGAGAAAGCATCGCACACAAAAACCAGACACATACTGAGGACACTATAGCTATTAACCAGCTGCTACTATTAAAAACTATAAAGGCCAAGTGGAAAGGCTAAAGAACTATTTCAGACCAGAGAAAACTAAAGAGGCAGGACAGCTAAAAACAAGGGGCCATCCTGGACTGGACTGTAGACATAAGCTGGAATAACTGGGACAAGTGGTGTCTTAGAGACACCACGACTACGACAAGTCTCATAAAGGAAACCAGTTCACTGGGTGGCTTGCAGTTTCAGAGGTTTAGTCCATTATCTTCATGGTGTGGCATGGCAACATGCAGGCAGATATGGTGCTGGAAAAGGAGTTACATACTGATCCCACAGGCAGCAGGAAGTGAGCTAAACTACACGTAATTCGAGAATAAGAGACCTCAAAGCCTACCCCCTAGTAACACACTTCCTCCAACAAGGCCACACCACCTAATAGTGGCCTTCCCAATGATCTTATGGGAGCCAATTAAATTCAAACTACCATAAGTGGTACTAACTTAAGCAGAATCCACAAATAAAACGGTATGAAGCTATGAAGGTATGTTCCTTAAAATCCTCATGTTGAAGCCCTAGGCCCAGTGCAGCTCTATGCAGACTAAGCTATTATTAAGGTTGAATGAGATTATAATGGAGAACAAGTGATCGATCAGATGCATCAAGTGATCGATCAGATGCATTACTGTGTCTATAAGAAAGACATCACAGCCAGGCGGTGGTGTCGCACACCTTTAATCCCAGCACTCAGGAGGAAGAATTAGGAAAGCTCTGAGAATTCAAGGACAGCCTGGTCTAGAGTGAGTTCCAGGACAGGCTCAAAAGCAACAGAGAAACCAAGTTTCAAATTTCCCAACATCCCCTCAAAAAAAAAAAAAAAAAAAAAGACATCACGAAGCTTGCTGCCTTCTCCCAGGCAAGCTAGTTCACAAGTCTGCTACAGGTGAGGGAGGACCCTCATGAGAAATGCATTAGCCAGTACCTTGCTCTTGGTTTCCCAGTCTCCAGAAACATAATACATTGTTGAGTAACCTAGTCTGCAGTGGTTTGTTATGGTGGCCCAAGGTGATAGCACAGTAATATTGGATTGATGCTACAGACCCGATTAGGATGGCTGTGCTGTGTCCTTGTAATCAATACTTCTGTAAGTATTAGGTTTACAGTTCCAGACTATCACATGCCTGCTCTCTTCTCAGATGGTACAGAGATCTTTACGATTAGGGAAACTAGGTGAAGGAAAAGTGAGAAATTACGTCTGCAAAGATTATAGAACTTTTAAAATTATTTCAAAGTAAAATGGGAGATTGAAATGTCTTAATTATCATCCAGAAACATTTTTATAAACATGAACTGTCATTTTCCATTATCATATTGGGATCGGATTGATGTCGATTTCATTAAAAGAGAAATCTAGAAAGACTTACATCACTTTACTGCAATCATAATGGCTTACTTCAGATATTCACATTCAATTAATAAAAACATTCATGATTACAACTCTATTAATGACATATTTTTACAGCTGCTTTGAATAATCTGGATGGAAAAATACCTGGAGACGGTGTGGGAGGAAGGGAGGAAGGGAGGAGGGGAAGGTTGAAAGAAATATACACTGTTAGCTTCAAGCACATTAAAGTTAGCATAGGATTTTTAAAAAAATTTACAAGCATATTGTCTTCATGTGTGTGTGTGTGCGCCATGTATGTGAAGTGCCTGAAGTGAAGACACTGGAACTGGAACCAAAGCTCTGAGCCCCCAGGTGAGTCCGGGGTACTGAAGCCAGGTCCTCTGCAAAACAGTAAAAGCTTTTAACCTCCAAGTCGTATCCCCAGGACCCTAGTAAGGAAGTTGAGTCTACACTGTAGACAATTAAGAGGTCTTATCCTGAAAATGTGACAGTCTGTGTAAGCGTCAAGGTGCATACAGAGGGAAAGGATGGCCAAACAAGGCCATAACAAAATGAAAGCAAATTTCTAGAGTAAGAGAGTTGTCACTTGTGTGGCCATGTACCAGAGTGCTGCAGTAGACAATGATTTAGATTTTATCGACACTACAATTTCGCAGCCCTGTGGCCACTAACCAGCTACTTATCCAAGGCCTCCATCTCCTCCACTACTACAGTTGCCTCACATCTGCTTCCATCCTCGCCCCTTTCACTCTCATCACGTGACTAACATCTTTTTCTTCCTTCAGTGTGAATAAAATCAGATCAAGTTACTCCGGTGTTGCTAACACTGAGCTTCCCTTAGAAGTGGTTTCAATAGCCTTATCAGGTCTTTGTGTACCTGCGGGGACCCAATTTCCTTCCACTGTCAGCTGTGCTCAGTGCGCAAGGTTCACACTGACCTTGGTTTTTGTTGTTGTTGTTGTTGTGTATCTTATCCAATCCATTCCTGCCTCTGGACTTGTGTGTGACCCCAGACTGTTTCGTGGGTAGCTCTTTTTTACGGTTCAGGAGTAGGCTCAAATGTCACCTCTAGGATGACCTTATTTTACCTTTTACAGAGAGACATCATGCCCCCAGCTATTTTGATAACAGACCCTGTTAGCTGAAATCCCCTTATTTACAGGCTTATTTTCTGAGTCTTTCAGTAGACAGGGCAATCAATAACAAAAGTGATTGTGCCTGATTTATTTGGATGATGCCCCAGTCAACTAAGAAATGCAAGGAATAAATGTTGACTGACCTACAGTTCTTTAGGCCTTCAGGTTTCTAACGCAGAAAGTGGGGATAATTAGGCCCACTCTTGCCATTTAGAAACTAGACCTAACTTTTATTAAAATCTTACTATGCCTGCAGCAGTGGGAAAATCACTTTGCTTATCCTCATACACTACTGTGATTTCCACTCACGAAATAAGGTCAGCAGGTTATGGAGAAGTTAAAATAAAGTCAAATAGATGTAAGGACAAGTCCACAGTAAATTCATCAATGCTTAACGTCAGAATCTGCTGTTAGCAGCTATTTAATAGTGGTCCTTGTTTGTCCTATTAGAGAACTGAAGACAGCTATTGCATATTTCCCGTCTGCAAATGAGCTGAGAAGATGCCGAAGTCGAGAGTATTGGAGAGGGATGCGGTTTGCACAGTAAGTGTTCCTGAAAGAAGAAAATTTGCCTGACCTCAGGTCAGAGGTGGTGAGCAAAGGGGCTAGTGAACCCCAAGCGGGCCCCGCGCGAGAGCTGCCGCTGGGGGCCGCTGGGTCGAGACAAAGGCTGGTGGAGTTTGGGAAGATGGGTGTTAAGTGTTACAGTACAAACCCCAGTGAGGAGCTTGCATGTAGAGGGCCCAGATGCATTTTTCACAACGTAAACTAAAGAAGTATTAGAGGGAAACAAACTGCAAGGCACAGTCACCTAGCAAAAACACGCGAACTTACCCTCTTCTGGCCACCCGGCCTCCGTAGCCCGGCTACTACCTGAGGAATCTGGTCGTCAAGGCAGCGGCGGGGGCTCAACTCGGCTACCGCGAGACTCGAGAGGTCACGCGAGATCTCGCCTAGCGGCCCTGACAGGCGGGCGTGCTTTCCGGGGGGTTATGGGAGGACTTTGGTGTCCGGCATGGAGGTCTGTCGCTCTGTGCGGTCGGTGCTGGAGCCAGCCCGGGTGGGCGGGCTGGACTGTGGCCAAATCGGAGCCGGTTCTTAGGCCCGGCTGGAAGGGGCTCGGAAGTGCCGGGCGGGACCTGAGGCGGCTCGGGACATGGCAGCGTCCGAGCGGGGTCCGCGGTCCCGCCGCGCAGCCGCCCCGGCGGCCGAGGAGCAGCAACCCTTTCCAGCGCGCGCAGGAGGACGAGTGGCGGCGACGGAACAAGACGGTGCTCACCTACGTGGCCGCGGCCGCCGTGGGCATGCTGGGGGCCTCCTACGCCGCCGTGCCCCTCTATCGGCTCTACTGCCAGGTAGGGAGGGACGAGGTGCGGGATGGAGCCCAGCGGCGCCGTCATTCCTGCGGGACCTCTGCGTGCGGAGACTGCAGTTCTCTGTCAGGAGTCTGTGAGGCTCCAGATCAGGACAGACGCGCCCCGGGGAAGGCCAGTTCTGGGAGAGATGGAGCTGGTGCCACGCCTCGGAAGAAATGAGCCTTGTTACACAAGGACAGGGTACTCCTGGCACTTAGTGAGTAGAGAGGTCAGACAGGCTGTTAGTTACCTGAAAGCTCACGGGACACCCCGCCCCTCCAAAAAAAAAAAAAAAAAGATTGTCCAACGTGCCAGTAGTACTGAGACCGACAGAAATGAAGTAGTTGACACTTCTGCATGTCTATGTTCACATGTTTTCGTCAGGTTAGGCTAGGTTAACATTGGGTCTAAAAAACAGTAGCCTTAAAATCAAGTTCCATGTTTAATACTGGTATGTCCTTGAGAATGCCCTGCTACTCTACTGTGGAATCAACAAGTTTTAGAGCAAGAAATAAAGTAAATATAGGATGTCCTGGAATGCAATGGTCCCTTTTTATGAGCCAGTTAAAATAAAACCCAGCGATTCTATGATTGCCTCAGTTAGTAGTAGATCTGAGGGGCAGGGTTAGTAGATCTGGGCTTGAGCCCAGGACGTCATTTTAATGATTGTTTTCTACCTGTTTGTCTAGTTTAGTTTAAGCACTGAACTTGAGAAACGAATCACATATGTCCCAAGAATATATAAGGAATTGATATTGAAGGAGAATACTTATATTTCTTTTTATTCAATTGACTTAAATTCTTTAGGAAAAATAGTTCGTCTTAAAACTCAGTCTTAAACAAAATTATATACATACTTGTTAAATAAAGTCAAATACTTGTCCTGCAATTCATCTTTTAAGATAAAAGTATAATTTGACAATGTTGAGAGAAGTTGAATGAAACTAAATAACTTGTGTAACAAGCGAAAGAAAGATAGTAAAATATTAATACAATAGTTTTTTAGAGTCTTCTTTAGCCTCAAATTTGGCTTTTTGTTTTTCTAATATAGGCAAGGTAAATTATCTGGGAATCAGAATTCTGTTACCCTCCAGCAGCATAAGAATATCTTGGAGCTTGAACTACCCACAGGGCGGGAGACCCTGACTGCTCTTGGGAATGGAGAGGGAGGAGAGGAGGGAGTGGGAGGAGTGGGAGGGTGTTGGGAGGAGGGGCGGAAATGGAGACTTTTGTATTTTAATAAACTTTGAGAAAAAAAAAAGAATATCTTGGAAATAGCATCGTCCCCACATCTGATAAAATAATAGTAATGAAAAAATGTCAGATACAAATAGATACAAATTCCTGGTACTTTCTGGCAGCTGATTGGGTAACCAAAAATAAAAACCTTTAAAAGATCAGGTACTCATTAACTGGTGGTAAAGGATAAAAGATCAGTGTGTTTGCAGAGAATTACAGGTAAGTGTCAGGTAATCATTGATCCACACACACAGAAACATTTATGATGCCCTGGGAAAGCAAAATTTACAAATTAAACTGCACTGATTTCAGCTCTGAAAAACTGGTACAGAAATGGGGACAGTTTTGTGTTTTAACTGAAATGACCTGGTGTGGGCAAACTTTTTTTTTAAGTGAGAAATTGTTTATGTAAACTACACTAACAGTGAAGGGAACTGTTTAATGAAAGGTTATATCTCAAAAGTCTTGTTTTACACTCAGTAATAATAACTTGTCTTCAAAATCTGCTTTTTAAAATGACTCCTTGCTAGAATAATAGGACTCACTTTACCAAATATAGGCACACAGAGGAAAAGATCAGGGGTAGTATGCAGTTTGGCGCAAAGTAGAGCATTCGCTTGTTTTTCAAAATTTACTTTTTTCCAGGAGATAAATGGAGATCTAAACACTGTTGTTTAACGTATCCAGTGTCTTGTTCTAGACTACTGGACTTGGAGGATCCGCAGTGGCCAGGCACTCATCCGACCAGATTGAAAACATGGTGCCCGTTAAGGATCGAATCATTAAGGTCACCTTTAATGCCGACGTGCATGCCAGTCTCCAGTGGAATTTCAGACCTCAGCAAACAGAGATCTATGTGAGTGACGAGTGGGTGACCTGTTAACCCATCTGTACTAAAGTTACATCTCAGAATGCTAGCACACCCCATGAGTAGATAGACGATAATAATCATGGGATCTGATTCACAGAGTGCAATTACTCAAGGAATATGTTAATGTCTTGAAACATTTACTTTTTGATATTCCCTACATTTAAATGGAATTATGGCATTTGGGGTTTCTGTGATAGTCCCACCCTATAGCCCAAGCCAGCCTCAGACTCATGATCCTCCTACCTCAATTTAGCCTTGCTTGCTGTTATTCTTGATTTCTCAGTGCATTAACCTTTGCTTAAATAAAGGTTTTATTCCATTAGTTTTATTCTGGTTGTAAACTTATTGTAATCTATTTAAGGTTAGTTTAACATTGATTTTCCTTAAAATATTCAACCATGGCATTAAGATCTAAATGAATTAGAGTTATAGAGGCATGTGTTACGTATGGTGCTGGCTATATTTTAGCTTTTAATCAATTGAAACAATGTCATGTGTTTATAACCATGTGATTAAAAGTTGACTAAATCCTAATGTTGAGGTTTATATCATGTTATATAGCTTCCTGACTTTTACTATGGTATAGGTGATAATAGAAAAACTGTGGAGAATCATTGGTCATAATAAGTAATTGACTGACTTATCAGAAGCATTTCTGTCCATCAAAAAAGAAAAATATAATTTTGAGAGGAAAAGAAAGTACTGAGGTACGAACCAAGGGTCTTGTATGTGCTGGGGAAGCACTCTACCATTGAGCTAAACATATAAACTAAGAAACATTTTAAAGATGTGAAGTAATTATTTCAGTAGTAACAACAGTCATGTTATAGTTCAGCATCATTGTATCCAAAATGCTTCTGAATTGTTAATAATTATAATCCTGAAAGGATTTGAGGTAAATGTTTTTTAACTATAGATTACTCTCAAAAGCCTTTATTTCAAATGTTATTCTTAACAAACCCTTATAAAACAAAGTGCTTTCCCAGTTTATTGAACATCACTTAATCTTCATTAAGGATTTTGTAGGTTATGATTTTGAATACTGGTTCAAATTGCATGGCAATCAGGGTGATGACAAATTGATACATCATAGAAGGTCCTATGGAAATTTTTTTTACAGCCTTTTGCTTTTATTTCTCAAAGTATTAACTCCTTTAGTTTAACAGATAGTGTTCAGTTATTTTTACACTGGTTGTAAATGTAAGTTATTCAGAATTGGCACTCTTTTAAAAATTTGGCAATCATGACATGCAGGGCTTGAGCTGTGGTTTGCCTGACTTCTTGGTCACATTATAAGTAATTTATAGATTATTGCTTGAAGATTCAGACAGCCAACTGGGACATTCATAACTGATCTTTTATTGGCATAAGCAAATACACAATCTGAAGCTAAGATAGGTTTGTGGCGATGTTCAAAGTACATTGAGATAGGCAGTATGGTCCAATGAATACAAAAATAGTATGATTCTTAATTTAGCGGGGGGAAAAATAGCATCAAATATAATATGTATTTGTTGAAACAGGTGGTTCCAGGAGAGACTGCACTGGCATTTTATAAAGCTAAGAATCCTACTGACAAACCAGTAATTGGAATTTCTACATATAATGTTGTACCATTTGAAGCTGGACAATATTTCAATAAAATACAGGTAAACTGAATGTAAACTTTATGATAAAAGTATGTGAAACTGCTTATTATAAATTAAATGCTTTTAATTTCTAAAAGTTCACTTTCTGGCTGGGTATTGTGGCTCATGCCTATAATCTTAGCACTCAGTAGACTGTGATGGGAGCATTGTCATGAGTAGAGCCCAGCCTGGATATGGCTGTGTAGTGGATTCTAAGCTAAGCTGGGCTGCAATGTGAGACCCTGTTTCAGGAAAGAAAACAAGAAAGCCTAGATCAGTACTTACTTCTAAACATAAAGCCATTTTTGTGTCTTCATACTTGCACCATCTAGATGGAAGGGGGAACCAAATCTGTGTTTGTTCCTTTTATTTGTTTTGAGACAGGATCTATGTATCCTGACTGTCCTGGAGCTCTGTAGACCAGGCTGACGTAAACTCACAGAGACCCCACCTGCCTCTGCTTTCCAAGTGGTGGAATCAAAGGGCTGTACTGCTATACCTGGCTACTGTATTCTAAGATTAGAACTAAATTGCTTCTTAACCCTTAAAGCAAAACTCAGTCTGGGCTGAAAAGATGCTGCTATCCTATGATGGTGCTTAAGGGCAGGAAACGAATATTGCAATGTTTCAGTAATAGAGTAGGAATGTTATTAACCAAGTATCTTTCTGTAATTTGTAGTGCTTCTGCTTTGAAGAACAAAGGCTTAACCCGCAAGAAGAAGTAGACATGCCAGTGTTTTTCTATATTGACCCTGAATTTGCAGAAGATCCAAGAATGGTGAATGTCGATCTCATCACTCTTTCTTACACTTTTTTTGAAGCAAAGGAAGGGCACAAGTTGCCAGTTCCAGGCTATAATTGAAGTAGATTCCAAGGCCTGCTTCATATTTGTGATTTTTGGAAAATCATGTATTGTGCTTTCTCAGAAGAGAAATAGTCTACACTAATGTATACTGAAACATTGTATTTTAAATGGTTCTATTTCTTTCTTCCCAACTTCATTTATCTCATTGAAGACTGAGAGAATGGGTTCAAGATTCAGTCTGTGATAAAAAGATGCTGCTATCTCTGGTGGTACTTAGGGGCAGGAAATGAGCATTGCTCTGTGTGCAGTAATAGAAAAGGAATGGTATTCATCAAGACATGAAGAATATTGACTGTCAGATGCACCACACATGTAACTGTTGAAAACTGCACAAAGGGTCAGGGAGATGAATCAGTAGGTTAAATTGTTTGCCTCATAGGCCTGACAACTTGTTCTGGTTCTTGGAACCTCCTTCAAAGAGTGAGTGGAGTAGCTGACACCTGTAATCCCAGAGTCCTGACGGTGAGGTGGGAGGTTGAGCCAGGAGAATCTCCTTGCCTTTAATGCATGCTATGGCACACATGCACACATAAACTGCTTTAGTGGTTCAGTTTGATTATGTAGTATTAGGGCCTTCACACTTTTCCAATGTATCTGAAAACTTTGAAAAAGAAAATATGTGCAAGTGGTTTTAGTTCATAGAACTTTTCACCAAGCAGGGGGGCTGCTACTTTTCTGCAGTATAAAGTGACAATTTAAAGTTGTTTATTTATTTTGTGAGTATGTGGGAAGGTGAGTGACACATACTTGCTGGTCAGCAGACACACTGTGGGAGTCAGTTTTCTCAAGGTTGTCAGACAAGGCAGCAAATGCCTTTACCTGCTGAGCTGTCTTTGGCTGAACTGACAGTTTTAAAAACCGCTCCAAGTTTGTAATCTTCTTTCAAGCGTGGCTTTTGATTGTATTGAGTATTTTATTCAAAGTATTGAATGGACAGTGACTTGGATATGATGATGAAGTGATCTAACAGAAGGATTACACCTGCTAGTCTGTGCTGGCATTTATTGTCATAATTCCAAATTCATTACTGGATGGTGTAAGGATGAAATTGTGAAGACTTACTGACATAAACGTTCTCTCTGAGGTAAAAAACAAAACAAAAACAACACAACTCTGACAAATTAATAGTAATTTAATTTTAAATGAATGATGCACAATTTTGTTTTCCAGTATTTGTTTCAAAATGTAAATTATAATAAAAGGCAAGAATGTTTAACATTACAAAGGCCACCTGATGCAGTGACCTGCTCAGGCACTTGAAATATAATTAAACAGATCATCAAGTTTAAACCAAATTGTTATTTATATACAAATGCAAACTGACTTCTACATTCAAATTCAGTTAAGTGAAGGCACTCATTTTCTTCCTCACTTCCTGCCCCATCTGTTCACAATGTTTTGTAGTAGGATGATCTTCAAGTACTCTTATAGGTCTGTGATGATGTCTATTGGTAGGAATGCCTGTGCAGCAGAAGAGTCTTCAACTTAACCAGTTGACCTAGTACCAGGCAGTTTTCCTTCTGCTGAAGTTGTAGTTGTTATAGTCAGCTTCTCCTGAAATCCTGAGCCATTGTCAGGAGTAGCAGTGTTAGCTGGGAAATGTTAACTATTCTGTTGAGAAGTGGTCCACTGGACTTCCCTGTTGGCAGGACTTGACTTTCAGGCCTCAGTGGAGCAGGGACTGCTTTATTTATCGAGCTGGCCCTTTGTGCTGCTAATTAGCTGATCATACATCTGAAATAAAGGGAAGACATTGGCCCTTCTCCCCATTTCCTGAGAGACTGGAAAGCCATACAGTTAAGCAGAGGAAAGGTTGGAACGCACTTTTCCATGGTTGGAGATATGAAGGGAGTAAACAGTGAACAGGTCAGTGGAGACCAGGCATTCAGTGGTGTGTAAATAGGATACCTGGTGCAGGAGCACTACTGATGGCTTCTGTTGGCCCAGCTAACAGGTATGGACTGCACACTGATGCCATAGAGTTGTATTAAAAATGACAAGTTTTTACTGATCATCTTTTTTTGTTAGCATTAATATTTATATACCCTAAACCAACTTTTGTATTTCCATGCCTCTAGATAATGAGATAATGGAGAGTGTATGTCATTAATGAGCACTGGTCAGTGTTGAGTAATTCAGAGGAACTTGGTATTGTGCTGAAATAGGTGTCAGACTTGAATGGTGCTTATAGAATTTAATACCAATATGCTAATTCCACTGAATTACGAGGAATTTATGTTGCGTAAGCTGGTGGTTTTTTTTTTTTTTTACCTTAGCAGTCACTGTGATTTTGAGCTCCTTTGTGGTGGTAAACATCAATTTCTTCATAAACAGCTCTGAAACAAAGACACCAAGGCAGAAGAGTTACACTTCAGTTACAAAGTACTATATTAGTATCACCAGAACTGAAAATACAGGCTTTTGGGGTAGGGGTGTCAGGCATCATATGTGAATAAAAAGATCTTTATCCTATACCTCATTCTAACATAAAAGCATTCTAATGTTAGAGTTCTTTTCCATGCCTATTAAAGGCCAATTTGTTTTTACTTTTGCTTTAAAGGAAAACTGGTTCAAATTTGGGCAGTTTAATTTTTTTTTTTACTTTAAAACAAATCTAGTTTTAAAATATTTTAAAAATATTAATAGTCTGCTTTATTTAACATTGTATTATAGTCTAGACTTAGGAGAAACCTTTAGCTTGTGTTGATCATTTCTGTACCAATAATAAATTGTAATTTTTAATAATTTCCCTCAGCTTATATGTAATTTTATAGTTCAAAAAAATACCTGTACCCAAAGGTGGCATTCATATATAGAATCTAACAAAACACAGCTGGGAGTTATCTCCCAAAATAACACGAAAACAAACCAAAGTGATCAACTTCATACATTTTACCATGTTTCTAAAAATTTTAGACTTACTTTCCATAAAGTAATTTTACCTTTTACCCTCTTTAAGCCACTGATCTCATTATCTCTCAGGGAGAAGCCTCGTGTATTGTTTCCCATCTTAATTAGGGAACTTCACTGTCCTTTTTCAATCCCTCTAGTTTATTTTCATGTGCATTGCCCATTACTTCCACGATCCTGTCAGCCTGTCTTCTCAAACACCTCTTCAGCAAATGCCTTCTTTTCCAAGTCTTCAACTTCTCCTCTAGGTCCTAACCCTCCACTTTTCATGCCAGTGCAATCTCATCACATAGCTCGTAGAACCTACCTCAATAATCCTAGTTCCCAAGCCATGCCCATCTCTTTACATTTATCTTGTAAGACATTTGTATATATTTTCACTCTTTTTAACATTGAAGTGTGGCTTCTGTCCTCAATTCACTAAAATAGCTTTAATAAAACCTATGTGCATGTAGCTGAATCCAACATCTAGTTTTCTGTTCTTGACCTGTGTGTACTGTGTGTAATGTTCTTCCTAGCTGTGCACAGGTTAAACTTCCACGCCCAGCACTAGATTGCCGATTACTTTCTTCATTGTCTGTGTTGGCATTTCCAGTTCATTGAATGTGCTAAACCTGCTTTCTACTGTTTTTTTGTTTTGTTTTGGTTTGGTTTTGGTTTTTTTGTAGATTTGACAAAAATTAGCAATGCTGCCTCCTATGGTTCCCTCTAGCCATCATTTACAGTAGTTCATATACACTCTAGTTACTATATCCTTTCATTTACAGTGGTTCATATACACTCTAGTTACTGTATCCTTTCATTGACATATTTGCCTGCCAGCTTAATTTTTTTTTCCACATTACAGTTCATGTTTATAAGAGCAGAGAGCTTGTCTTGCTCAAAATTAGATATTAGTCACATCCTGTTACATACACGAAATGTTGAAGGTGATGTGTTTGCTGAAGATACATAGATATCTTCAGAAAGAAAATGTTTGGCCTGGGATTCCTGGCCAACCAGTCATGTGAAAACTCTAGACCTAAGAGTTTCTGCTTTTCCTTAGAAGTTCCTGGATGTCATGAGACCTTCAGTAGAACTGAGGCTCTGAGTCTCCAGTAAGCAAGAACCACAGTGGTGAAGAGTTCCAGGGTTTCTCTCCTCCAGCTTCCCTACTGACCATCTCACCTTTGGTACCTAGGACAATAAACTTACTTAAAGAGTTAGTTAATCTGAATATGCTCAGGAACCCGACATGAAATTTAACTGCGTAAGTATATGTGCTCAATGATGCAGCCACTTTTATCAAGCTTAGCCAAGGGAAATTCCATCATCCTTACGAAAAGTGCCTAGCAGTTGGATGTGATGGTACGTGCCTATAATCACAACACTCAGGTCAGGGCAGGAAGGTCTCCTGAGTCTGTTTGATAATAAATGATACCAAAATGGCTGTCTACTCTGAGGGCTTAAATAGACAATGTATCAAATGCTCCCATGTGCCAGGAGATAAAAAGATTTAAAAAAAAAAAAAACAGATAAAAAGGACCAAAGCAAAATATATATGAAGAGTAACAGGTTAAAATAAGTAGTAAAAGCTAATGGGACAAGCCTAAACTAAGGCTGAGCATTCATAATTAATAGTAAGTCACCATGTCATGATTTCAGGGCTACAATTGGCAGTCATGGGTACATGGTGAACTAAAGAACATACTCTGTACCACCACTTTTGCTAGCTTTAAGAACACAGCCGTGGTGCTTTTACAGTATCAAATCATGAGAACTACTTGAACATGCTAGTTTTTACTTATGGGTAATTTTAAAAAAAAAAAATGTATGTTTTAAATTCTGCACAGGCCAAACAAAATACAACTGGGGATTATGTATGTATGTACATAGTATGTATGTACTATATATATATGTGTGTGTGTATATATATATATATATATATATATATATATACATAGTACGTATATACTATACACACACCCTCCAAGCTGCCAGTTTCTGACTGATGATTTCCAAAATCTTGTTTTCAGCATTTTTTACATTGGGGATAATCTTCCACTCAAGAGGGTAGGTATTAAATCTCTAATAGGGAGCTGGAGAGATGGCTCAGCAGTTAAGAGCACCGGTCACTCTTCAGAGGACCTGGTTTCAGTTCCTAGGACCCACATAGACGTTTACAATTGTCTGTAACAACAGTTCCAGGGGATCTGACACCCTCTTTGCAGTCACTGGTACAGGTACACATATGATGCAGGCAAACACATAAAATAATAAAACCCCTATGATGTGCATATCATCCCATATACAACCTGGCAAACAGGAAACCATTCAGTGATGGTACCTTAAGGATTTCAAATTAAAAGCATTTTTATTTTCCTTTTGGACAAGGTCTTGCCTTTTCGCCTACACTGGCCTCACTCGTGATCCTCCTACCTATTATCTCCAACATGCTAAGAGTATACTGTATGGCTACACCTGGCTATAAAAGAATTTTAACATTAAGGGTCACTTTTAAGGATATTTTTGTCATGTTAAACACAAGAAGTTCTTTTACATGTCTTTTGATTCAGTTCTGGGGGAACAGTTTTAAAATGTGGCATTAACATGTCAGCAAAGAATAGTGTCCTTCTCAAGCTAGAAAGACACTTGCCACCAATCTGTGCTAAATGCTGGTTCCAGTTACTTCTTAGCGTGTGACTCCAGCATTTTTACTTTTCAGTCACTGGCCGAGAGCAATAAGGCCATTAAGAGCAATGGCCACTATAAAACCTCATAAATCATTTGTAATAAGGCCATAAATTTCTGCCAAATGCTAAACAAAGTTAAATGATTGACCAAGCTCAGCTCTGTCCTCAAAGAGAACTGAGACAAAACATAAATTAATGATTTTATAAATGACTTACTCTGTAGCAGGAGCTAAGGGATCAAACTCCATTACTTCGTAGTAATTGGGTGGTTGGAGATCATTGTTTAGCCCTTTAGGTGCATGAAGAAGGAGAAAAAGACCAATAAATACACATTATGCTTGTGAGGAGCATGCACAATTCATAATTTGTTTAATGTAACAGTGTTAAATATTTAATTTAAATATATGAAGCTAACAAATACAACCAAAACAGACAGTTCAATGTTACTAAGTTCCATGAGTCTATGCATAAAATAGGATTTCCAAACCTCAACTACACTTTTATTTATTTTAGTGTGAACCAAATACAACATTCAGTTCAGCACAATATTTTTATAATCTAATGCGAATTATAATGAATGATGTCAGCCCTGAGTTTATTATATGTGTTTTCAAAGTACAATAAGCTTTCTGCATTTCTCTATTTTAAATTAATAATCTTTGTGTACCTGGATGATTGCTGGGCAAGGGTGGTTGCCTCTGGCTCGGTGGTGCTGCTGTGGCAGGCTGTAGGCTAACTGGCTGTAGTAATACTGAATTGGAGTTTTCTGGAAACTGAAGAAAGCATAACACATGTTCAGCAATACATTCCACATTAAGCATTTTTGTTACCAAATGGCACTGCTCCAAGAGTCATACATTCAGCTGGGTAAGAACTAGTCATTTTTACTACTTCCATTTTTTACCTAATAACTACTTGTAAAGTTGTCTGCATGGTTTCATGCTTATTACATTCCATTTCCCACATAAAATGTAAAATGTATTTTAAAATACTGTTTTTAAGGAAGAATCGGAATTGTGTGGCTCCATCTAGCTTCTGTTTTACTCAGAATATGAAATCTCAGCCTTGAACAGAAATGAAGTTCAGCTTACAAATAGGCATGCAGCAATACTATCAAGAATAATAAAGATAAGTCGTTCTTTATCCAGGTTTAGCTAGCATAACCAAATAAAGATAGAACTTGAGAGGCTGAGACAGGAAGATGGCAAATTTGAGGTTAGTCTCATCTACATAGCAAGACCCAGTCTCAGAAATCAAAATTACACTTTTTGTAATTTCCTCTTGCATCCTACAAGTATGTCACTTTCTTTCTAGCTGCCAGGCACTATTAAGACAAGAAATAAAACAGACCAAGCAGCTGCTATTTCAGACAAAGTGGAAATCAGTGTCCGGTGGCCTGGTCTATGGTGAAAGAGCAGGAGAACTGGCTGAGGTACAGTGGGAGTCTGCTCTCACAGCCTGGTCACAGGGAATGCCTCACCACTGGGAACCTCTCGGCTGAGCACTGACTGATTAATATTAGAGGACACAAGTTTCTAGGCTCTGAAGTCAGGGAAGTTATTATGGTTGAAGCATGGTGAGCCGAGCTAGGTCGGGGTGAGGCAGGAGCGGTAATGGTCAGCCTGAGATCAGAATTGCAGGCGTTTACAGAATAACACGGAGGAAGACAGCCAGGTGGAGTTGAGCAGATGAGCGGTGGCAGACTGGGAAACTGCTTGGGTTTGGTTTCTAAGAGCACACCATGATGTGGGATGGGGTGGGAGAGAAGCCTTGGGAGGCAGAAGCTTAAAGCTCTAGAGAGGTTATGACAGTATCCATTGTGTGATCACTTATATTGGGGTGGGAAAGTGGAGAGGTAATGTATGTAGGACAGTTAACATGTTTTCAAACCAAGGTAAAACTGAGTCAAGGGATATTTACCAAGGCTTTTGTCATAAGCACCTGATAAAGGGCGTTGCCCACTTAATGAGGTACAGAGTCTGCTAGAAGAACTGGCAGATAGTACAGGGAAGAAAAGTGAGGGGAGATGCAAAGTTCATAGAATTCTGAGGTCAAGAAGCAGGGTCTAGGCTGTAGATAAAATCTTGTTGATTATCGAACCTTGGTTATTTTAAGTCAGGGACCAAAAGCTAGGCATGCATGCCTTTAATCCCATTATTTAGGAGGTAAAGGTATGAGGCTGAGGAGTTCATGACCAGCAAGACACTGTCTCAAAGGAGAAAGAGGGAGAAACAAAAGATTCTAAAGGAATGAGGTAGATAAGATAGGAAGTCTGTGCCTGGGGTTTCTGATATTGAAATATCAGAAAACAGGGCCACGAAAAGAAATGAAGAGGAAACAAGGAATATGTGAGAGTCATATGTACACACGAGAACAAGTGAGTAATTGTTAAGACTAGGACTAGAATTATAGCACTAGTTTAATTATGTAAAAAACACTGATAACCTTCACTAGGGTTTAGAAAGGGATGAACAACTCTGAAGTCTTTCTAAATATAAACATTGTTAAAGGAACTACAACTTTTTGTTTCATACAGTGCTGGTGATCAAACTTAGGGCTTGTGCATACTAGTTAAGTGCTGTACCACTGAGCTTTATTCAAAGCCCAGAAATTATGCCATTATTATCTTTAACCATATTATCTGAGAAAAGCAAAATAAAATTTATCTCAAAAGACTAAGGTTGCCAACAATGGCTGTATCACCCAACTGTAAAGACCTTTCTTCTGCTGCTTGACTTGGGCCAAGTTTTGTTTTTGTTTCATATTTAAAAGTAAGTATAAATATATGCAGAGTAGAGCATAATCACTAACAAGCAGTGCTTTGGTCATGATTATCTGCTGACTAGGTGAACTGCTAGCAAGAGAGTGTGGTTACTTACATCATACGTGTGACTTGAGGCGAGGTTTTGGCTGGTCCTTTGGGCAAACCTAGGATAGTGTGATAACACAGCATGATTACCCTACAGTGAGAACACAAATGCAAAAAGTAAGATGATTTCCCAGGTCTGAAAGAAAGCCTGAATAGCATGCCTTCAAACTCACAAAATGCAAACTACCACCATCTGGTTTCAGTGCCCTTCAGGCCATGAAACTCAAAATCAAACACAGCAAAGGCATCAGTCCTTGGCAGGAGCGGACTTGAGTATGCACAGTACATTAGTGACAGCACGGCCTTCAGTCTTTCCACCCATAGCTACCACCCATTACATCTTGAAAGATGAGAAGCTGTACGGAGCAAAAGTTAGGAAAGATGGGAGAGTTCCCATTCTGGTTAAAGTGGAGTGGAAAAATAATTATCTCCTTACTAATGCCACTATAAAAGCTGGAAAACAAACCAGCGAAGCTAGTCAGGAATGTAAAAATGGTGGCAGGCCAACTGGGAAAGGACAAAATTTAAGTACCTCGGAACTACTGTTGAATTTACCGTCTTTTGTATTCTCTTGATTTGAATGCAACCTGAACCCCAGATACAGACTTAAGTGATGACAGAACTCGAAGAAAAGCACTCATTTGCATGCAGGGAGCAAGAAGGACACCCTTAGCTGCCTCTGATCCATCTTCACATCCCAAATATAGCCAACCCCATGGTGACTCCAAACTGGTGGGCAGAGAGTAAACTCTGAAGTGAGGGAAACTTCCTCTCTAATTGGCTAAGCTGTGACTTCAAATCATGGGGATAGCCACTGTTGCTTTCTGTTCTACCATCTGTCTGGAGAAAGCACAGCAGGAGAACAATGCTTAGGTAAATAGAGAATAAGGTGACCAGACAACAGAAAAGGGGAGTTCCAGGACACCAGAGAGTACCAGAGAAATGACAAAGCTGAGAGAACTCAGGAAAACAATCTTGTAAGGTTGTTATGAGTCCTAAGACGGAATTGTTTTCAATGTCCATAATTCAAATGATGTCAAAATACTGAGAACTGGACCACAACCTACCACTAAACTTCTGACTGACCACAGGGTAGTACACAGGCAGGATAGATTTGAACAGCACAGAAAGAGCTTTGAAAATTCAGCGATTTTTGAGCGCATATTACAGAGGCAGGCTGAAATTATAAAGTGAATCTAATCAAGTTCTTTGCTTCATGAAATCAAAGTATCAACATTTATAGACCAGATTTTCCCAAAAACAAGCATCTACCAATAAAAATAAAAAACCAAGGATATAATTCAAAATGACTAGGCGTATAAAGAACCAGAAAACATTTAATACAGTAAGAAGACAAGCAACAGAAATGACTACCAAGAGAAATGGATGTTGGCGCTATCCCAAAGAGATATGAAAACAGCTATTGCAGTACAGATATTCCAAGATATCTGTAGGCATACTGAAGGCAAGCATTCAGTAACCATTTTAAAAATGGAAAAATAGAAAGTGTCAGTTAACAAACAAAAATCATAAATAACAAAGTAGAGATTTTAAAAATGAAAAAAAAATAGAAACAAACTCCGAATCAGTTTAATTGTGGAATAGAGATGACAGGACAGTTAGTGAATTTGATCGTTAGTGATCGTAGACATGATCCAGTTTGAACAAGAGTAAAAGAGACTAAACAAGTGCCCTAATACCACTTAGGTGATAATACCCAACAATTGTTATCACAGTCTCAACAGGAAAGCAGGATGTGTGTAGTACTGAAAATAAATATGAATAAATAAAGGCTGAAAAGTAGTTTGGTGAAAGACATAAACTCATAGATTCCAGAATGCCTGTGTAGTGAATTAAATTTTATCCACTCCCTAAAGGATATGTTTAAGTCATAATGCCTTGAACCTGTCTTGTCTTATTCAGAAATGAGACAGATCTTCAGAGGCATTCGTCACCTGAATGATCTGTTTGGCCTTCAAATCCAAGTGACAGTGATCTTAGAAAAACTTAGTGAGATTGTAGTTGCACGTAAGAGAAGGCCAAAAGATAGAGGCAGAAACTGGAATAGCCAATAAGCCAGAGAAGCCAAAGAATACTAAGGAAAAGGCAGAGGACAACTTGTTACTGAAAAATGCTAGAGAGACTGAATTTCAGACTCCTTGCTTGCATAACTATGAGGTAATAAGTATCTGTGGTTTTGAACCATCTAGTTTGTGGGAATTTGTAATGGTAGCCATAGGAAACTAAGGTACTTGGTCAACCCTGCACAAATATGTCAAAACAAATCATACCCACACATCACAAACTGCTCAAAATTAAAGAAACAAAACAAAAACTTAAGGCAGAGCACATTTTTACAGAGAAACAGTTCAACACAACATTTTTTTTTTCTTGTTTGCCACTGGTTTGTAATTCTCCTGGGATGCTTATAAAAGCTTAAGATTTGTACTACTGAGTCAGAACCTATGGAGGCCAACAATGTGATATGTGATCTCTTTGTAAGTTTACTATGCGACATTATCATCTTAGTGATTTATGCTAACTGAAGGATGATCTGGAACATTACACATTAAACTGAATACTGGTAACTGAGATTTGGTTTTTTTAGTGGGTTTCATGGAGACATTTGCTGCAAGACACATTTTTCTGTATTACTCATTCATTCTCACATGACCCAACAAGGTTAGCAGGATGACAGGAAAGCAGTTACTTAGCAGGCAGTTCAGCTAGACATCGACCTACAACATTTCAGCATGTGCTTGTACTATATCTGAGACTAGAGTGAGCCAGCCTATGGTATGGTCTCTGATAACCCATGAGGGTGTGACTGATGTTTCATTTCCTAACATAAAAAACTTCTTTCCTCTTTCCTTATACTTTTTTTCTTGCCTTTTAAAAGAAATTCCCTGTTTGATTCTTTCTCATTCTTGTCCCTACAGTCTTCTCCCTTTTAAGTATAGAAAAGCAATTAAGTAATTGGGTATACAAGTGTTTAATAAAAGAGAAATAAATTGATTTTCCTGACACATTGGACAATAAGTAAGAACCCAACCAATTACTGGGTTCAGTAAACACCAGGGAAGGGAAAGAGAAGAGATGAGATTTTAAAAAAAAACATATATTTTTATATTATTTTGGTATCAACCTCATGGAAACATGTTACCAATTTCATAAAATATATGGAGTATGTGCATATGCTCCTATGTATGTAAAAATAAACATTAGCCTTGTCATAAGACAAATCAAACCTGCTAGCTCTTTTAGTCTTATCTGGTCTATTCCTAAACTTAAGTCACCGCCTTTTGCTTTTCCTCATTTTTATGAGGAATGACATAAATACTAAGAAATAGCATCCTTTCACCACTTTCTTATACAAATATAGCATGATCACACTGCTTGCCATCTTTTCTCCTGTGTGACAGTGAAGATAGTTTTTCATGTACAGAGCCTCCTTTCCCCTAGCTGTACACTAATCATATATTACAGAACTATTTATTTAACCAGTCCCCAACTAATGGATACTTAACATTTATTAGCCACCATTGCCCACTGATGTGGGATGTCTTTCTGTATATGTGTTGCTTTTATTGGCTAATGAATAAAGCTGTTTCAGACTATAGTATAGCAGAGTAAAGCTGGACGGGAAACCCAAACAGAGAGAGAGAGAGAGAAAGAGAGAGAGAGAGAGAGAGAGAGAGAGAGAGAGAGAGAAAGAGTAGGTGGAGTCAAAGAGACGTCATGTAGCTGCTGAAGGAGAGAGATGGCTGGAGCCTTACTGGTAGGCCACAACCTCATGGAGATACACAGATAAAAAGTTAATTTAAAAAAGGAGCTAGCTAGGAATATGCCTAAGTCACTGACCAAACACTGTTGTAATCAATACAATTTCTATGTGATTTTTTGGGGGTCTGAGCAGTCGGGAAATGAAAGAACAGTCTCTTTTTACAGCCCACCATATTGTAAAGAAGAGTCTTATAAATAACTAAATGTATGAAAACAACATTACTGCCTAGATTTAATATCACAGGTCTAAAGTAAATGCAGTGTTCGTTTCATTAGATAATGTCACTTGTCCCTTACGAAGTTACATACTTCTTTCTACAGCCAACAAATTCTTACCAAATAATAAAAATAAAATATCTAAGTCAAACATTTCATGACCATAATCCCTACACTCAGGAGACAGGTAAGAATATTTCTATGAATTTATGGCCAGCCTCAGCCACCTAGTTTGTTCTGTGTCAGCCTGCACTATAGAGTGAAACACTGTAAAAAACAAAAATAAAATAAAATCCATAAGCCAACCAATCTTTGTGTTTTGCTGACACTTCTCTAAGAAATATGGAAATCATACAAATGTTTATGGGCTACTGATCACTTTTTGGTGATCTTGCTAATTACTGTAGATTTTAATAAGTTTTGTTCCTAAGTCCCAGTGCCCTCTCCTACACAAAAGGAATAGTGATTATGACATGAAACAAAATAACTTTGGCAAATAATTATATAAAATCAACCAAGCTATGGAGTATTGCTATACGTAGGCAATTTCATGAAATTACTGTGGCCATTACTCTTCCAGTTTTGAAAATCATTCCTCACCCTCCTTTGTCACTGTGTTTCCCATAACTGAATAGCATGAGCAAAATCAGAGAAACAGACATACTGAAGACTTACTATGGGGTTATTACATAGTAAGTGCTACATTAGGAAATGTACATTTATTTCATGTGCTCAGTGTGGTTCCTAAGTAGTATTCTTAGAGGAAAATGAATTCACAGTGCCTAATGTTTCATGCTGTGCCACACTGCCAAATGGAAGCAAGGCTAGGACTTTGACCCAGGTCTTTCTAACTGTAAAGTCTCTACTTTTCTATACCATCTGTTGTGTAGCAGTTTCCTTTAAAATTAAAATTCCAACTTGGAGGGAAGCTCCTTAAAACACAGGACACTTAAGGGTGGGGGGACACACAACGACATGGACATGGCACAACACACATACAACATTCCACCTCGTAGGGAATCTCCTCATGCTCAGGAAGTAATCAACACAATGGCTTCAGGAAGTCACTGAAACTGAGCAAATCACTACTCCCACCACCAACCCTCACCCGCTGCCTTCTCCCAGCATATAAACTGTAAGGGCTGCTGAGAGACAGTCTTAGACAAGATGAGCTGCCTAGAACAGACTTAGACCAGCAGAGCTACCTGGAAGAACTGGAAGAAGCTAAGGCCAGCTAAGCCACTTGGAAGAAACCAAGAAGTCAAGCAGCCTAGAAAGGTCCAGAACAATGGAACTGCCCGAGAGACACTATCCTGTTGAGATAGCTATAGCTTGTACAGTTCTACCCAGATTCCCAGATGTCATGAACTGATATCCATGCTGGGCTGGGCATTTTGGCACTGCCACATCTTTGAGTCATTTCTACCCCTGTAGGTAACCCCTCACCCACATTCCTATAAATAACCCTAATAAAACTCATGGTTCACCAAGTGGGACTTCGGTGGTAACTGTACTTTGGTCTGTTGTATGTACCTTATCTGGGCTGGGTGGATGCTTGTTCAGGTCTCCCCAGAAATAGTGTCACACAACACCATGTTTTCTAATACAAGGAACCATAATGCCATGGAATTGGCTCACTGGTGTTACTGACATACTTACAGGGTAGGTGCTTCTGTGTTTTCCGATGCTAGCAAGTCCAACTGTGGTTGAAGATTGGAATACAAGTTGCTTGTTATAACAGGACTCGGAGAGCTGACACCTAAAACATAAAATGCATTTGTTTGACTTTTTAAGCCAATTTTTATCATGCTTATAGTTACCATCATTAGTATTCTCAATTTTCCACAGTTAAGAGATTGATTTGGATGCTTCTGTCGCCATAAAATGATATGGTTTCCTCTAAGAGAGTTTAAAAGCATCATTTATAGGAGACATAAAAAGGGACAAAGACAGACAATCCCAGCCACATAAAGAAGCTGTCATAAATGGAAAATATTATCTGTTGGATTTTCCAAAATCTCAAACTGATCCAAAACGGAAAGGATTGTGCATGTCTTCTGCCTCGCACAAAAGTGGACAGCTAGGATTTCTAAAAAGCTCAGCCTTCACATCTACGCCCGTAAACCCCCATACAATTAAGACACTGAAAGGGAATAACTATCTTCCTGTGCCCCAAATCCATAATGAGAACCCATGAAAACTTTCTGGACAAGTGGTCCCACCAATCTCACTAGCTAACATAAGCAAGCTGCCAATAGTTCAGAGATGAAGAACGCTTGAAAGGAAACCACAAATTCAATACTGTGTACTTTTGCTGTGGAAACACCAAAATATAAGAGAAAAATTATGGTTTGGCTGAACTAGAATCTTAGATATTTTCTTCATCTTGAATATTTTGTAGCCTAATAAAACTTGTTGGAAATAAGAATGGAGATAGTATGTTAGATAAGGTGGGTAACTACAAGCCTACAGTGCATTTGGCAAATGCCATTTCATTCATTCATTCATCTTCACAAGTTTTTCAGGAAACCACTGCCTCTCTTTAAAAAGTAAGGCAGTCTCAAAGGTTAGGCGGCAGAACTGGACCTCCAACTTCCTTTTTAACTGCCTTCACGTTTCTCTCCCATCCAGCCTTGGTTCATAATTTCTGATTTCCTTTGTCTGCATCAGTCAGTCTCTTATTTGAACCGTGGCATAGCAAAGACATCTAACAATAATAGTCTATATCTGGAAGAGATTTAAATATCGGCTAGTGAGGAGCAAAACCTCTGTAGGTCAGGTAAATTCCATGGGCTTCTGAGTCAGCAGGATGAGTTCCAAACCCTCCCCTACACGCCCCATTCGTTTGCTAGATCTAACCCAACTGTTTTGCAGGGAAGTGATTACATCTCTGATAGTCAAACTGACTTCAGTCCTTCTTGGGAGGCATTCAACCAAGGAGAACTATTTCCTATCAGGTTCCTACGCTGTGGAGAGAAGGCCCAGTTGCTTATTTACTTAAGGCTGAAAGCTGAGCATTCACGGTATTGAGTGCTTCCCCATTGGACATAGGTGTTGGCAGGATGGGACTAAGGTCGAGAAGATCACAGGAAGGAGCAGAGGGCTCATTGGAAGTCTGAAAAACAGCAAAAAAGAGACAAGTTAGGGGGACAATCATGCAACTTATCCTAGCTCTCTCCAAACACATTCCTTTGGATCTTTTCTGAGAAAAACATTAGGCCATGACAACTTAAATTTCACTGCACTAAGCACATGAATCCCTCCTTAATTAGAGACCCTCCTAACAACTTAATATGGAAACAACACGGCCAAAGCCACTGCAGGGTGTTGGTGTTTCCATCTTTTAAAGAGCTGTTTCTAGGGAACCTTTACTTCCTGAAGGATAATTTGTAAGCTACTTTGTTGTTTTCTTTAGACATTTCTAATCACTTACATTGGTAGCTTCGTTCAGGTTCCTATTCTGTTCCAGAAGTCTTTGTTGGTTTCGAGTAAACCTGTTGAAATCAGCAAAGTGTGACATCATTTACAAACAAAGCTTAGTGTTATTAAATACACAGACAGTCACTACAGTGATGCAGAGCCCCATCTTTACTCAATCCCAGGAAATACCTTTTGTAACTAACTCTCTTCCAGGGGTGGGGGTATGGCTTAGTAATACAGTTCAAAGCTCAGCATTCAGTCCCCAATACCACAACACAGCCACCAAAATCCTGTCTTCTAGTTAAGAGAGTACCAACCTTCTTAGAAAAAAACTGTGAGGAAATAAAAAGTTAAAAAAAAACCATTTAATCCCATGTTCTAGAAATTAGCACTACTGCTAATATGTGCAGTATGTGTATTCGCTAAGTGACTTTACTTCTATATTAATTTACTTATTTTGAGATAGTGTTTTGCTGTGTAGCACAGGTTAGACCTATGATCTTCCTGCCTGAGCCTGTAGTGCTGGAGTTAGAGACACATGCCCATGGGTCTAATTACTTTTAAACTTAGGTAAAATTATACTTTATACAGCTCTGTATCTTAATTCAATTGTGTTGCATTGCTATAGTCGCTTAGAGCTGTAATTTTTAATGCCTATAATATTTTACCATAATAACCAACAATATTGCCAATTCTTATTTTCAAATATAAGGTTGTTTCTTACTTCACCATTATAATTTTCATAAAATTAATCCAACAGTTGCACAGATGGCCCTGACTAGACTAAAAGGGTTGCTCAACTAAACAAAAAAGTTATCAAAAAAGTTATGAATTTGGAAAGGTGTGTGTGTGTGTGTGTGTGTGTGTGTGTGTACATGCCCATGCACATGGGAAAATTAACAGAGTGAGAGGAGGTAAAGACAGGGCTAAGGGAAAGAGTAAGCAGGGTGAGTTATATGCATGTATAAAATTGCCAAAGAATTAACTTAATAAGAATATTCAAGTGCATGACAAGTAGTTCAGTGTTCAGTGTATCATCAGGAAAAAAAAATTGACCTTTTACAATTTGGTCCTAATTTCCCACTGCTTGTCTACCACAGTAAAAGAGAAGCAGTTAGAACTGTCATAGAGTAAAAACCCCGTGAAACTGAAGAAGTCCACATACTCCCTACTTTCTACATGCCTGTGAATCTGACTCTCTGAGCCTTAGTGTTCCATCTGCTAAATGGGTATAACATCGGAGCCATTTCTTCAGAGATGCACTTTTAGAGGCAAAATCAGATAGCTGCAGGGTCATAACAGTAGATGTGAAGCTGACTTAAATTAAATTAAAAGTTGCTTCAGGAACTTATGGTATTACCATTATAACATTGACTCCAATAGCCTAAATGCTTTAAAAGCTTGTTCTGTATCTGAACACACTTAAGTATTAGATCAGTGATTTTTAACCTGTGTTCTGACCTCTTTGGCAAAACTCTATCTCCAAAAATACTTACACTATGATTCATAACAGCAGCAAAATGACAGTTATGAAGTTGCAACAAAAATAACTTTATCGTTGGGGGGTCAATACAACATGAAGAACTCTATGTATTAAAGGGTCACCTCATTAGGAAGGTTGAGAACCACTGTTTTAGATTCTTCTAAAAAGCATGCTTTGCCAAATGGGGTGATGGAAATATTTTGTAGGTAGCATGGAGGGGAATCTTTGGGGACTTTGAGGCCAGACTGCTATAAGAAGAATAGCGTTCTCTTCTAGTGATACCCATGTCCTGCTTCACTCAGTGACAGGCTAGATGGAAACCGGGGAGGAGGGGGGGCTGAAGACTGCAGCGGGAATGGAGTCGGCTAGCAGTTTACCTTGGCTAGCAGAGTCTCTGGATGTTAGAGACAGGCTCACTGCAGTCTTCGAAAGAGTGCTTGGAAAGAAAGACTCAGAAGAAGCCGTCAGAGTGGTAAGAGGAGAGCCGTACTGAAGCAGGTATTGGCACTGAAGATGGAGGAAGGAGACCATGGGCCAAGGAAAGCTGGCAGCCTCTCCTGGCTACAAAGGTAAGGAGATGGAGTTTCCTTTGGGACTTCCAAAATGCAAGGCAACCCTACTGACATCTGGAATCCAGCCCAGAGACAGACACTTGCATCTCCCAACCTGGAGAACCTACTTTATGACCTAATAATAATAAATCTGTGTTGCTTCGAGCTATGGAACTCATGGCAGAAAAACAAAACTCGTAAGCATCTCTTTTAGAAGCCCTATTTCTCTCTCTGGATTCAAGGACCACAGTCACTGTGGTCCCTGTTGTTCAGAGCTGAGTCAACACAAGCAATTCAGTTTCCTGACCTAGATCAAATAAACAAAAGCTCCTCCTTAGAGGAGACATTTAACCAGTGGTCTTATGGTTAGCAACAGAATTTTCCCAAATGAGAACCAGACAGCAGCTGGAACACTGACAACCACGTGGTTGCCCTTGGACCTATTTCTGCTTAGAGATATTTACATCACAGGAAAAGGCATGGCTCATCAATCTTTCCAGTGCTAAGATCATGGTGACTGGGCTCACAGTCAGATTTTCTTACAAAGAGTTGCCGTCCCTAAGAGATAGTGAATGTGAGACCGTGAAGGAGAAAGGAACCACCATAGTACAGCTGCTGCGATTGTCTTCCTGATTCTCTTGCCTAGTGATTGGGAATGGAAGAAAAAGAGTCAAAATCTTTGTGATTTCTAATGTTTAAATGGAACGTTAATGTGGAGGGAAAACGGTGATTCAGTGCAGGAAATATCAGGGGTATAATTCAATGGTAGCACTTGCCTACCAGGGACCAAGTCCTGAGTTCAACCCCAGCATCACACACAAAAATGATAATGAGTGTCAATATGCTACTGTTAGTTGTTTTTATTATATATTATCTCATTTACTCCTGAAAAATATAAATCAACTCCTCCAAAGATAGAATGTTTTGGTTTTGTGTGTTTGTTTTGTCTTTCAAGGGAAGGCTTCAGAATGTTAGGATCTATATCCTCTCTCATCATCTAGATTTAAATTTAGGTCCACTCACCTCTTTCTTACGCCACTCACATCATTCTTCATTTGCTGGTTAGAAATGTAGCCACCATACAATGAAATAGCCCAGTAACGCTCAACTTAGCCCAGCACCTTTCCAAAGCTGTCTACTGAGCCACCTCAACTGGGAGGCGCCTGCCTGCCATCTGGGGAATACTGCCACACAAGAGAAAACTATTCTATTTCACCATGCCACTCCTATTGAGAGAAAAAGATCTAGAAAGAGCATTCCCTTGCGGGTTCTCCAGAAGGAATGACGTCTGTCTGTACGGTGGTGAAAGGAGAGCTAGAAGGGGGGCAGAGGGCAACCATGGGCTCACCGCTCATAGCCAAGGATGGCATTATTCAGATCCTCGTTCACTTGAATTAGCTCAACGGTCACGTCTTCGTTTTCCACCACCACCAGCAGGTCCATGATCCTCTCCTGCATCTCCCGACCCGTCTTGTAAAGTTTCTGTCAGAAAAAAGGAGATTTCTTCTTCCATACTAGAGATGCTCTTTGAAAACAACAGACACACCAGTCTGCGTGCACTTGTGGCCACTTAACGGCCATGAAAGAAGATGGCATAATTTTTCTCTAAAACAACAATGTGGTACACTGAAATGCAGTATGGAAATTCTAGGATCCCTGTTTAATAACTGAGCTATTTTTTTGGGGGGGCGAATCACTTGTTTTATAAGCTTTAATTTTCTCATTATAAATGAAAAATAACCACTTGTCACATCTACCTCCAGAACTGCATGAAAATCAAATGAGATGTGTGAGGCCGGGAGTTCTGCAACTACGAAGCATAAACATGAAATGTCGTTGTCATTATTAGCGATGGTAGCAGTAGTTACGAAGCATTTACAGCACGGGGGCAGAATTTTACTTCCTGTTACTTAAGCCTTTAAAGTTTACAGCTACATCACATTCAGTATAAACGGAACCAGGATTTAAAAACTCATCGTGGATAATGCCCTTATTTGGACCACTTACAATCACTGCCTTGAGCCAAGACATTACCCCACAGCAAGCTTTCTCTCATCAGCGTCATAGGCATCCATAGAACACTTAACGGACGCAGCAGCCCCGAGGCTTAGACTGGGGCATCTACATTTTTCTTAACAAGCACAGCCAAGTGTTTCTTAAGCGTCCTGACGTTTGAAATCTGCTGCCTTGCAATTGACTTCCTCCTCCTCCTAACAAACCTCCAATAAGCCTAAGGTGCACAGGCTGATAATAGCATCGTCTCAATCCATCTTGGCCACATTCTCCTGTGCATTAGCACAGCAGCAGGCAAAAATGCAGGGATGGCTCCACTCTCACAGCAAGAGCATAAGAGCTTGCTTACATATTGCATAATTATACAATCTGACTTCTCAAGACAGGTGCGCCAAAAACATATATATATATATATATATATATATATATATATATATACATATATATATATATATATGCTTCATTAAACCATTTAAAAATCTTCAATAGTTTATTATGAGACTCCTGACAGGAAATCCAGCAGTAAATAAATCAAACTATTACTAACTGGCATTTTGACTTGGATGTAGAAGTCACCACCTTGACAAAAATATAAAAAATATTTAGAAGACAAAACAAAATAGAAAGGAAAGGTGAGGGGTTGGAGGGAAAGGATGATGGGTAGGTGACAGATGAGCCTCATACCCACAATGTCAAGCCAGATACGTTATATTATTTGATAATGACCTGATTGCTGCTCATGTACAGTACAGGGTGTCAAAAGTTGTTTCTTAAAGCCCCAGATCTTAAGTATTTCACGCTTTTAGGGCCATCTAGTCTGAGGCAACTGTTCAACTTTGCACTGTAACATGAAAAGAAACCAGAAAAGGAAGTCCCAAAGTAGGTGTGGCCAGTGGTAGACTGCAGGCAAAGAGATAAGACTTTGGACTCAGTAGATCAAAGGTGGCTCCAACACAGTCGTAGGAAACGAGGTGTTTGAAGACCTACAGTGCTTAGTATATAGCAGGGTATCAATAAATGCATTACTATTACTTGAGGAAGGGTCACTAAAAGATTTCTTAGATAATATAATCTATATATAATACTCGCACTATTGCTTGGGACCCAATATCATCCAAAGAAAGAATCCATAGCATCGGATAGACCTCCCTCTTCCCAAACAATAAATGAAAGATTTTCTTTTATTCTTGCTTCCAATGGTTCAGAAAGTTTTCCTCTTGTTGTTTATGAGAAGGCTCGCTAAAACAAGGTCAAAATCAAGGAATACAACGGTGTTAGATGCCCAAGACAAAAATGTAGAAATTAATTGAAATGAATCTGCAGCCAGCATCAATAGCCCCAGTCATGTGAAGACCCGCCCCCCCCTTTGCCCTTTGGAGAGACAGATGGAGCGGAAACTTGAAAGGAACAGGGCATCTCAGCGGGCTCACAGAGCAGGATGTGAAAACCTCTTCAAAAGCCAGCCCACTCTGATCTCTGCAATTGATGTCTGTCTCAGAGGAGGGCCACACCACCTGCAAGCAGCAGCGACCAAGCACTGCAGAGAAAAAACTAGGGCCCTTGAGGAGCTAGGGATGCAGGGAATGGAGAGAGACTGACAGTGGCCAATGGATGTGTCCGTCATAGAACTCGGGATTGTTTCTTTTGTCATGAAGGCAAAGACGGACTTCTAAGCCATGGTGTTTAACAATTCCAAAGGCTCTGGAATACAATGAAGAAGCTCATTAGGACCTTCCAGCTGACTCTTGTCAGGACACTTAGGAATTAAGATAAGAAATCCCTTTGCAGGTTCAGCACCAGTTATATAGTCAGCCCACATTCACCAACAAGGAATGTGCTTAAAAAAAAAAAAAATGGTCAAATAGCCCCTTCGCAAAAGTATCAACAGGAAATGATATGACTGCATGAAGACTTCTCTGGAAATAAAAATCTGTATAGCAATATCTTCATTATCTCCCCTTAGCACATTTCCTCTCCCACAGCACTCCCCACCCAGGCTGCGAGACACACACACACACAGCACGCCTCTATCTGCTCAGAAGGATAAACTCTCTCACCCTAAAGCTGAATGAACTGTCGACATAGCTCTCATAAACACATTAACTTACTAAAAACTCCTTTAACTCCCCACTCTATAGGCTCACCAATCTATTCTTCAGCAACTTTGGTTCTAACTTCTTGTGCCCTAAGGTGTTAATTCTTCAGCAGAGCACTGATGTATATAACTCAACAGATAATTAACTCCTCTAGTACGAAAAGCATGCATGGGAAATAAACCTACACAGTACTGCTTCTAGGCAGCTAGTCAAACATTAGCTGGCTTGAAGGCCCGTGAGGATGGATGGCTCCCTGGATCAACTTAGGGTCCCACATCCTGTGATCCTGCTAACACTAATTCTGAAGAAGGAGGGAAGTCTCACAACTGCCCCTCCTTAGAATCTGAAGTACTGCCAAGTAATCATAAGAAACCTCTGTCCTAAACGACTTAGTGGTTGATAATGCTGTTTGATAAAGACAGCAGGAATTTCCCTTGCCTAGGCATGGCCAGAACCTCCTGGGCAAGGAGAAAATCCTGTTATACAACTTCAGAGAACAGCCTGAAACCAAATATGAAGGGAAACGTGATATTCCAGAAGACATGTTAAGACCGTGAAGTTAGTGGCAGACATTCTTTAAATCCCTTCCCTCCTTTTCCCTCCTTTTCCCTCCTTGCATTGTTTCCTTTCTAACTCGGAAAGCCTCCCCGACACCGACCCCTTTCCCATTTCCAATATCTGCCAGAATACTGTTTGCCCTGATTGACTCTGAGCTCGCTCTCTCTCTCTCTCTCTCTCTCTCTCTCTCTCTCTCTCTCTCTCTCTCTCTCTCTCTCTCGCGC